GTTCTGTGAACATTTTCAAGTTCCCTGAACATTTTCAAGTTCCCTGAACTTCTTTAGAAGACCCTGAACATCTCCTCTTTTTATGTCATTTCAGCCTCTCGAATTGTTCTCTGAATAACTCTCTAAACATCTAGACATCCCTTGAATAATTCTAGATGTTTTGGACTACTATAGTTGTTCCATTTGTAGCTATGACCTGAACTACTCAAAATCTTCCCTGAATTTCTCTAGATCTACCATTAACTTTCAAATGACCAGAAAGAACTACTGCTTATTGCTGGATTAAAAACTTCGGCTCAATGAACCATTCGGCCGAACGTACTTCGGTCTAATGATCCAGCACCGTTTTTTTTTTTTTTTTTTTCATTTGATGTTATAGGAACTCCTTTAGTAGTTCTCTGATCTGCTCTAGATTCTCCCACAGTAACTTAATAACCTTCTAAATGTTTACTGATTTGTATGGGTGTGGTTTGATGATCTCCAAACTAGGGACTTCTCTATCTGTTTAACTAGCCCTCTAGAATATATTTCCGTAACTTCTCTCCCAAGCAACATTGCAAGTTTTATCGACGGTTTAAAGCATTCTACAAATCTAAAACATGGTCAACAGAACCCTCATAAAACGAAAATTGTTATTTGAGCTTGATGTTCCCTGAACTTGCACCTTTTCTCCGGGTTCTTGTCGGTCCCTTTAGTTCTTTAGATGTGCCTCAGTGCCTCTCGAGTTTCCTAAAACTTATGTCTCACTAAATTCTTAAGTTGTTTTTCCTGAAGGAATCTAGATGTCCTCGGATGTGTGTTACAGTACTTGTTCGCTAACTGGGCTAAAAGCGCAGCCCAGGTTCGTGCATTCTGAGTCACATTATTGTTATCCAAGTAGTTCAATATCTCAACGATTGGTTTCTCTTTATCACATATTACGGTACACACGGAAAGGTAAATAAATTTGGAAGCCATCAGTAATAATAACATTCCGTATGGTGCTAAACTGCGCTAGATTAAGAAAGATTAAGTGCGGGTTGGGCTTAATAGACCGAAAATGGGGTAGTTAACCCTAAACCCTGATTGTTTTAAGATATACATTGAATTTCTTCTCTATATGGCTCCTGGGTTTCTCTAGATGTTCACTGAACTTCTCTAAATGTTCCCTTAACCTCTTAGAAGTCCCCTAAAATTCTACAAATGCCTCTTACCTTCTATAAATGTTTCCTGAATTGCTCTAGATATTTTTGGACTTATCTATTTTTAAACATCTCTTAATGGTTCCTGAGCTTATCTATTGGAGTCATTTATTTATATTCAGATGCTCCCTGAATTATTCAAAGGGGTTGCCTGAACTCTGAATATCCGAACTCCTCTAGTTACTTCTCTGATGTTCACTCAACTTTTCAATTTGTTCTCTGAAGGTTTTCTTAATTCCCCCTAAATTATTTTAGATGTTTTCTAAGCTTTCCAGGTTGTTCCCGGGACTAAATCAACGGTTCGAAGTCGTCAACATTTGGAAATTCACTCAGAACCCATTACAGGATTTCATTGGAATGTTTTCAAGAAATTTCTTAAAATAATGTCCCTTCAAAAAATTCGTGTGAGAATTCCTATAAATTAAATTTTAAATTCACTCTCGGAGTCCCTTGAATATTGCATTATTAAAGTCGAGAAATTCGAAACCAGAGATGAACCAGCCAAGGCTGACAAGCCTCTTTAATAAAGAAAATTTAACTATACTCTCTCAAAAATTCAGTAAATTCGTTCTACGATTCTCTCTTCGAATTTTTAATGATTCTTCCAAAAATCCACAAAAGCTTCCTTCCATAATTCTATTTTAACTTCACGTTCATAGAATCCACCTCAGAATTGTCTTGTCAAAAGAATTCAGCGTAAATATCAAAAAATCTAATTTGGAGGGAACAATTTCAGAATAGTTCTGATAAGAGTTTTATAGAAATTCTGATCAATAAACTCTTATTTATTGATATTTACGCTGAATTCTTTTGGTATTATCTTTCAAATATCCTCAAAATTCAATAACCTCGAAACTTCCTTGAAATTTTCAACCCAACTCTCTTAAAATTCTTCTCAAAACTGGACCTGGAATGCCCTTCACAATCGTCATGGAATTTCCCAAAGAGCTACCTGAAAATTCTACTCTAAACCTAAACTCACAACATCGACTTGGAATTTCAGTCAAATTTCTTGCCAAAACTCCCGTGGAATATTTCTCTTAAATAACTTGTTGTTATCGTTAGAATTAATTCTAAAATCTCTTCAAAATTGGTTTGAAGTTTTCATCAAAATTCTCTTAATATTTCCTCAAAGTGACTGTATCCTGAAAATCTATTCAGTCCAAGTTAAGACCCTTGTTTAGGGTTCACAATCTTTTTTTTTCTGGAAACTGGACGATTTGCCGATTTGCCATCAAACTTCATGGGCTTTTCCCGAAAATTTCTAATTACTAGCTTTATCCCGGGTTACCCGATTTCCCTGTTTACTGGTCACCCTGGATAATTCCTAAGTCTGCGAGGTGACTACCTATGGAATTCCAAGGAGAATTTTATTAATACTTTAGAATTATAAGTATTTTCTGAGAGCATTTTTACTGAAATAGAATCTTACATTTCCCGGTTGGGTGTATGCAATGGAATTCGAAGAAGAATTTTATGAATATTTTATAATTATGAGGAATTTCTGAGAGCATTTCTATGAAATCTGTAAATAATTTAAAGGCAGCGTTCTGATAATACTTTTAAGGGAGTGCTGAGGAGAATTTCAACGGAATCTCGAGAGAAGAATTTAGAGGTAGATATCAGACGAATTCTGATCAAAGTTTCAAGAGATTATTCTAGGCAGAACTCCGTGAAATTCTGAAGAGTATGCCAAGTGAATTTCCCGGAATATTCCAAGAAAATTAGCGGATAGAAAATTATGCGAGTTCCGAAGAGAATTATTAACATTGCGAATCGCACAGTAAATTCCAACAGTTCCCTGGAATGGTTTGCAGAAAATTTCTGGAGTGTTATGTAGTCAACAATTAACAGAATACCATAGAGAATCTTTAGATTGCTGTAGAGAATGTTTCAAAAGAAATCTTGTGATAATTCTGGGAAGATTCTAAGAAAATTCTTGAGAAAATCTCAAAGAAACGTTTGTAAAGATATTGAACACAGAAGAATTTCAAAAATCCCATAACTGAAACTGTTAGTTAATGGTTAAAATGTAGGTATTGACCGATTGTTTCAACACAAATCATGTTTTTTTTTCCTGAAGCATCCTAAAATTTCGAGAGCATCCATTAAGTACGTCAGGCTCTAAGGTGAGAGGGAGTTTACAAATGTATGGCAAGCAATGTATTAACATGACCCGCCATGCCTATCATAGATTTCAGTACCTAGCACTGAAATTATCTGATAATATCTCACTCGTCTGGCTAAAATCTCCTTAATAAAGACAACCAACCAACCAAGCAGTACCTCTATTTATGCGTTTAGATTCGAATTATAAGTCCTTTTCTCGGTCCCTTCTTTTTTAATACTTGGAACAAAGACTGCTTTCAAAGCCCTAATAGGATTTCCCGCCATTTTTATGAGTGGGTCTGAGCTTAGAATGTATTTTATGTTCCAAGGATGCAGAAAAGGAGGGACTTACAACTCGACTTACAAAAGGCATAAATAGAGGTACCCTCCGATTATTTCAGTGCTAGGTACTGATATCTGAAATCTGTGCTAGGGAAATCAGCTTTCCCCATCACAGAAACGCCCTGTTTTCTAATGCAAAATGATGGATGTGCGTTCACAAAAAATACTTAGTAATTTGTTTTGCTCAATCGATAAAATGTTCTTATCGCGAGATATTCGCAATCAATTTTGAAACTTCTCTAAAAATAGGTGCAGAATTGTAAATCCCAGTTTTTTTTTCTAGTGTCCAATACAGCCGTACCTTATGATCTCTGGCACGATCTGAATTCTCTTATTTGCCCTAGTAGTCCTCTGGACGTCCTTGAAATACCATCAAAACCATTTAACTATCAAGGGGGACAACATAAAGGTTCGAAGCTCAACATCAGCCCTTTATAGTAAAAAGATAAAGCATTGGCTTGTTAGTTAATTGGGTAGTGTCTTAATTTATCTGATCTAATAGTAATGAATGTGTCCAATCTTTTCCTGGATCCGAACAAATTCCGCGCAAATATTTTTCGAAAGTCATAAATGCTTTCTCATAACATCTGCTGGAGAGAATGTTTACCTTATCCATTAGCTACGCCAAGCATGCCAATCAACCACGACCCAAAGCGATTTCACGAAAATAGTATACTCAAGCTACCACCTATTATCATTTGTTTAGTCTAATTACACATTTGATCCGTTTGTGTGTGTAGAGCGAGCGAATTAGAATTTGCAATTTGCATACGATTTCTTCGCTGGATGTTTGCCGTCACATTGCCTAGCACAATCACACACGCACCACCAACAAACCATCTCCAAATGAAACCAAATCGACACCGGAGCTGAATCTCATGGTGCTACAAGCTTTCGAAACAAATACTGCAGATCCACGAGAGTTCAGTTCGAGTATCAATCTACCTTAGTACCACCGCGAGCGCTGCCACCCACCACACCACACAATTTGCCTCTTCACCAATGATAAACAACCGTCGCATTCTGTACACTGTATTCTTGTTAGTAGTGATGAGAACCGTGTTCCGAAAAAGGTGCTGTTTGTTCTATTTACAATGGAAAAAAAAAATGGTTGATTGATCCGTTGCTGATCGACGAACGTCCGAGCAAGAACTCAGACTGTGATGTGATTTGGGTAAAGTGTACACAGGTCACAGCCAGAGTCCTTGCGCGGCCCTGCTCGCATCCGGGTGCCTTTGTGTGTACCAATTCCAAAAATTTTGCGACGTGTGTTATGAACGGTTAATGATTTGTGCACTTTCCCATATTGTCTAGTGGTTAGGATGAGGGCTCGTTGGGGGTTGTTATGAGTGATGCTGTGAAACTTACCATCCGGGTACGGTAGACTGAAGGGACTGCAATTACCAAGCTCGGCAATCATCGCATTTCGTTCGCGCACGTTGACGGGAGTCGTCTTGGCGCTCAGTGCTTTTAGCGTCGATCCATCCACATGGAGCTGGGATGGATCCTGCTGGAGCAGCGTCTCAGGGCTTAGTTTGTTGCCATCGCTCAACGATGCATTCTTGTGGGTGATCTCCACCGGGAGCAGTTTGTGGCAGCTGGCTGTAACCGCGTCCATCAGGTCCGAATCTAACCGTTCCTTCTTGATTGAGCTTGCGGTGAAGTACAGCGAATCGGTACTGGTTTTCGCCGTCGATTCCACACTGGCATCGTTACTTCCGCTCAGCAGGTCAAGCTCCTTTTGCGTCAGCATCGGCGGAGAAGCGATGGCGGATTGGACCGATTCCGCCGCAGTCAACTGGTGGTGGTGCCCGACGTTGAGCGAATCCAGCGCACTGGGTTCCGCTTTCACTTCGACAGCGGCACCACCGAACAGAGCCTTGAGGTTACGCTGCGCGGAACTGAATTGTTTCACTACGTTAGTTCCTACAAAAGAAAGTTTTTGGGTGATTTCTCACATTGCATTGATTGCGGGACAGCCAGGAGAATCTTACTTGGTTTATTTTTAGGACTGAACAGCTTTTCGTTGAACGGTGATAATAGCGGATCGATGTCCTCCAGCAGTGGATCCGGCCCAGACCTGCTGCTACCGTTTCCTCCGCCAGTACTACCTCCGAACAGACTGCCACTACAACTACCGATCCCGCCGAGACTGCCGTTCGGCGAAATTTCCGACGATTCCGGACACAGGAATACGTCGATTTCACCCTTTTCCGATTTCAAAAAGATTTCCCGCGGCTGTTGCACGTCAGGTAGCTAGAAATGAACGAGGGAAATCAGTCAAATTGCTAGGGGATCTACAAGGAAGCATACATACCACCAATTTTGCCTCCGGAGGGGCCTTGATTACCACGATGATCTGCTCCTTGAACATGTCGATCGAGTTCAGATCCTGACAGGTGACGTACGCATGCTTCGTGGTCTGCATGTCGCCCGCCGTCATATTGCGCATCTCGACGATCATCCGATCGAGCATGTTCTCCTTCTGCTCCAGCAGGTACCGATCGCGCTGTATCCGGTTGTTCTTTTCGATATTGCACAACGAATTTCCACACTTCCACTGGATGTTGTTCTTGGACTTTTTCTCCAGGATACCGATCCCCTCGAGCACGTTGGTAATGTCGTAGATACGACGCTTTTGTACGTTCAGTTTTGTGGAGGCAATGTTTAGGTCGACCACCCCGTCGGACGATTCCTTCAGCAGGTCGACGAACTTTTTCGTTAGCAGTCCCAGCGAGGTGTCATACCTTGTGGGAAGAATGTGAATTTGAACCCAAGTCGATACAATTTCAATGCTTGCAAACTCACCTCGTTCCTTCCGAATACCGTTTCTTCGACGAAGAGGACGACACGGACGATGTGGGCGTAGAGCAGGTTGAGCTGGGTTGTTTACTACTGGACTGTTTCGCTAGTTTGGCCGGAGGTGGTGATATGCTGGGCTGCGCCCTACGTTTCACCGCCTAGAAGCGACAGTTCCATATGATGGGAAAGGTGAGACAAAGCACTGAACTTAACTCACCTTGAAGTAGTTTGTAATCTGCGGATCCCCACTGGCACTTTTGTGCTGCTGGTGCAGTCCCGCCGTCCGGTTCGGCGTGGTTTGCTTGGCATGGTGCGTCGTCGTCGTCGTCGTCGTGTTGCTTCTCGACGTCCCAGAACCGGACGCCGACGGACTGTGATGACGACTATAACTACTATGCTGTTGACTACTGCTATTATGACTATTACTACTAGTACTACTACTGCTATGGTGATGATGGCTTTGCTGCTGCTGCTGCGGCTGAGGTTGTGGCTGATACTGCGGCGTTACACCGAATCCGTACCCATGGTCGAGCAGGTGCGAGCTAACTTTTATGTCCGGTTTCACATCCTCGTAGTCTTCGCTGGACAGATCACTACCGCTGCCGGCCGATGGTTTCCGGCTGCCACCATAGACCATCGATCGGTTTGTACTTGCACATTCAATGTTGTTGCTGTTGTTGCTGCTGCTGCTACCGCCGCCGCTGCCATTCAGTCCATACGACTCGCCAGTCTTTTTGTTGTTGATTTCCATATTAGTTAACCTACCCTTCCCACTGGACACTACATAGTGCTGTTGTTTTTGTTGCTGCTGCTGCTGTTGTTGCTGTTTCTGCTTAGAGTGTAGTGCGTACATGCTTTTCCCTTTTCTCTAGAAAAATAGTGCTGCGCGGCGCCGCTGTCACCATTTGCACCAGGGCCAACCGTTTCCTATTGTTTACTGCCGTTCTAGGTGCGCTGAGGAATTGTCGTTGTCTCGAGGCAGATCTGAAATTAAAGCAGGAAAAATACAGGATTATTAATAGACCGTGTTGAAGTCGTCACTGTAGAAGTTTATTTTATGTTTGTGACACCATTTTCCACCTTCCTATAACTAAACTCGGCACGCGGCCGGCAGTGGCACTACAATGGCAATCAAGAAGCGTATGGGGCGAAGTGTGATCGATGGCAATCGTCCTATTACTGAACTTCCACTCCCCCCTTATAGGAGAGAGTTCAACTCGACGAGGCAGCAGCAATGCAATTCAAGAAAAGTATGATATCGCAAACCGCAACATTGTTGCCTGGTTTGTTCTCGCACTGGGAAACCACACTGTCGTCGTGCCTTCTACTATCAGTAGCCAAGTGCGAGTTGGAAACGAAAACGAAAGTCATGCGCAGTTTCCACGAAAGCTTTTAAAAATATTGCGGTCGGTGTCATTGTATGTAGGTGGCACACGGGAAAGGATAGTCGGATGAAGACCAGCCGACATTTTTCCACGGAGATGTGGGAAGGATGAGAGAGGCAAATTTTGCGAATGTGAAAAAAAATGTTCGGGTTACTGAATTTATGCTACCGGAAATTTGAGCAGAAAGTAGTACGTTGATTGATAGTTGGATGACGGATACAGAACTCGTTGAAGCTGGTAAATTAGCTGGTTCGACAATGACAAGCCCTTCATTCGTTAAGGTAACAGTAAATATATGTGTTCTTCCAGAAATATTGCCAACAAATCTCGCGTAACATTTGAAAAGGGCCTATCCTCGTTGATCGATTCTCTTCATCGACTTTCTCTTTCGCGAATAACCCGGCTGCAAATGAATTTTCCATTCTGTGTGTTGTTTCAGGCGCAAGCTAACATCATCTTCTGTCAAACTGTGCTGCGAGCTTAGTGAGAAATTCATTTATGTTGCCGTGGTAAACCAAAGAGAAAGTCGATGAAGAGAATCGATCAACGAGGATAGGCCCTTTTCAAATGTTACGCGAGATTTATGGAATTGCAGAAACTCCATGCACTAACAACTTCTGAAAATATTCAGAAGACTAGTCTGAATATTTCGTGCCACAAATCTCATCATTCAGAAGTCGTGCTGATCTGAAAATGTAACTCGATGTTCGCATTTGTATAGCAAACAGTGAGAGATAACAGTCTCAATTGTGTTTCAATTACCCGACCTTTTCCGGCTACCCGGGGATCGGGAAACAGCTGATGGCTCTTCTCAGGAATTCCCGGGAAGCGGGAAATCCTTCAGTCTAGTGAGCAAATAGGTTCAGGATTGTTTAAATCGAATAGTTTAATAAACGAACTTCTCCAGACGACTATTCCTAAATCCTAACAGAATAACGGAATATTTCGTTGACTTCCTGTTTGGTAGTTTCTCCCAAAATCACCCGGATGTTTCATTCGTTTTTTACAATCCGCGGAAGCTCCTTCCAGAAGTCATTCTGGTTTCCGAATGTCTGAAAGTTTTTTTGGAAGTCTCTCCTAGATTCCTCAGACTTCTACCAGAATTTTTATTTCAACTCCCTCCGGATATTTTGAACGAACTTTCTTCTATTTTTTTTACGAAAATTCCTTTCAAATTCTCCTGTAAATCTATATCTGTAAATCACTTAGAAAATATTTATATAAATTTCAGTAACATCCTGGGAAACAATGTTCGCTAATTTCAGCTTGAGCTTGAGCTTGAGCTTGATTGACCGCCCACGGTTGCTACTCTGTTACTGCCAGATCAGCTGTAATTACACAGAGAACCAATAGACGATGCTTGGGACTAGCAATCATCCTCAATGTGTAAAAACTGGTGATCTTAAATTAGGCAATACCAGCGCCGGCCGCGCCCGAACACAGGTCAAGAAAGGAATGGGAAGGATTGTGTTGACATGACACTCGCTTTGATGGAAGCCGAGAACACCTCTGCACTTCCACGAGGAATCACTGGGATGTTGGATAAGAGGGTTGGGTTTGCAGCAGGGTTCGTTTTGGTAAACGATAAGCTGAATTGATGTCCTAACGATCATATAACGCGAAGGAACTTGGGACTAAACCCACGGTCTTCTGCTCAGTAAGCAAAAACGTTTGCCACTAGGCAGACGAGCACCTTTTTAATCACCGAGTTGCTGTTATTACCATGTAGTCATATTAACAAATAAAACGATTGACGAATCTTGAATGTGGATGGGCCTGAGATTAGACTCATGATGTTCTGCTCAGTAAGCAAAAACGGTTGCTCTAAGGCCACCGAGCCCCTCATAACACATAATACCGTTGCTCAAATTTGTGTATCCATTCAAACCCGGAACCAACGACAACAACGAGTTTCGCAAAATACACGATACACAAGCGATTTTACCATAAATCTCTTTGATATGTAAGGACATGGGACCGCGTTTTTCTGCTCAGTAAGCAGGCTACTGTAACCGACGATCTTTCAAATCCGAAAACTAAACACTACGAAAAAGTACTTAGGCCTTCATTAAGTTCCACTTTCACGCGACGTTCAATGACAGGGTCCTATCCAGGATTACATCTGAAAAATCCAAATCTGGCCAACGCCCACCCTAAACCTAAACCTGTTCTAATCCACATGAAATGACTAACGAATGGAAGACTTTGACTACCCAGCCATGCAATAGTCTCATTCCGTGCCTTATGGCAACTTGATGATTCTATTGCGCTCATCTTTTGGCACCACCCAGGGGAGACTTGGTCCTGTACCCAATGCTTAACTTATCTCCATTCCACTCATCTACTCGCAATTTCTTGTGATATAGTGGGCGGAATATTATTATATGAGACAATTCAACGCAGACGTCTTTCCAAATTTGGCAGATCGACAGGTAATCGGTGAGTTACCACGATAGTTGCTATTCAACAACTCGACAACGTCCCATCGTCAACGCCTGCTATGAGAATTTCCCATTGCAGACGTCAACGAAATGACGTCATCGAGCTATCGATCAACTACCCTGGTTATCGCCTGGTACCTTATAGCACGATGCTAGGAGGCGAACCGGAAGAATCGATGAGCTACCTCTCCCCCCTCCTGGGAAACAATGTTCGCTAATTTCACCATAAAATAAGTTCCCCAATTCAATTGACTCTATTTAGATGGAGCCTTAAGAGTTAAAAAAGACATTTGTTTATTTGTTATGTTTGCATCAACAGACTAGAAATAGTCCCAATGATGTTATGTAAAAAAAAGTACAAATTATACAGACTACATAGGCCCATACATACATTCAGCAATCGACTAAATTTTCAATAATGACCAAAAATATCCATTAGAACCGTCCCAATGACGCGTTCATCTAGATACAATTGATAAATAACAGATTTTTAGCGATGGGCCCAATCTTAGATCCATAGGCCAACATTAGAGCCATTTCCCCTACTACAGTTACTACAGTTACAAACAAAAATAACTAAAAAAGCATTGTCAAGTTACTAAAAATGTATAAGTCTTAAATTTTACACATAGCTGTTGGGCATCAGCAACAAAGGCAGAGAATCTTCGGTGAAGCATATATTATGTGTCAAGTGGAAATCGAACATCGACGCTACTCGGTTGAACACTCGCTGCAAGCCGCAAATAGCGCTCCCTAAGCTATAATTAGTTCGAAGAAGTGGAAGTCTCAGCATAAGACTGTTGCGTAGTGATCGAGGTTGAACATTAATGTTCACTTGTTGTAGTATTACTTCGCAGATTCAATTCGCTCGGCCCCATTATTGTAGTTCGGGCTCCAGACTGCAGAGCAGTATTCCAACGTAGATCGTACGAGAGAGCAATAGAGCGATTTCAAGCAGTAAATGTCGGTGAAGTTCTTAGTAATTTTGAAGACAAAGCCAAGCGTTCTGGACGCTTTGTCGACGACATACGATGTATGGTGTGAGTATGTCAGTTTTGAGTCCAGAGTCTTTCACGAAATGCACCCGTTCGATAGTCGAGCCTAGAAGTTTGTAGTTTAAAATAATCGGTTGTTTCTTGCATGAGAAAGTAATAACTGTACACTTAGCTGGGTTGACCACCAGTCGGTTTAGACTACACCAGTCAGCAAAGATGTCAATCTGATTTTGGAGAGAACGGCAGTCGGCGAGTGAGCGGATGCGCAGAAAAACTTTCAGATCGTCTGCAAACGATAATCGTGGCTCTGTGATAACATGGTGAACGTCGTAGAAGTAAAGGACAAATACGAATGGTCCCCGATGGCTACCCTGAGGTATACCGGACTTTGCGCAGAAGCTTGCTGAGCGACAAGTACCCAAAGTTACTATCAATTGGCGCTCCGTGAGGTATGAACGAAACCATCTCAAAAGATTTCCACCGATCCCTAGCCTATTATCAAGCTTAGCGATCGCAATTTCGTGGTTCAGCTTATCGAAGGCTGCCGTAAGATCTGTGTAGATAACGTCCGAGCAATCAAACTGTATGTGATGTAAGACGTTAGGCACAGCAGGTTCGTAGTTGTGGAACGCCCAGTTATGAATCCGTGTTGATCTGTACTTAGATATTGCTTGCAATGCGCATTTAGGGACTCTATGACAAGCAATTCAAAAAGTTTTGATACAGCACTCAGCGACGTGATTCCCCCGGTAGTTGTTTACGTCGCGTTTGCTTCCCTTTTTATGAACAGGAAAGATGCCGCTGGAAAGAGAGAGCTGAAATATGCGGCGCAGTGAATCTAAAAGACAAGTGATGTTCTTTCTAAGAATAATCGACGGAACACCATCAGGTCCAGCCTTAGCTGAAGTCTTAAGTTTAGATGCTGCTCTAGAAAACGTATCTGTAGTGGCTTCGACCATGCTGAGCGTTCGGTTGACCAAAGGAACATTACTGGTCGCGGAAGTAATGATATTAGCGGAGAGTTGCTCGTCTTCAAACACACTAGCAAATTTGGCTGAGAACAGGTTTGCAAATGTCTTGTTGATTGCCAGGATGGTTTGCCATAGTTTCACCATTAAAAATCATGGAAGAGGGTAAGCCGACTTCCCTGGGTTGCTCATTTA